TCTTTGTACAAATGCAACTCCTTGCGCACCCCCATATTTTGCAGATCGATTCTCGCCTTATCCGTATCCTTACTTTTCCGTCAATGTCTAGAATTGTGCCTAATAAGCTGTCGCATACATTCTTCTCAATATGCATGACATCTAAGTTGTGACATAACGATAATGACTTCTAATAAGGTAACTCCCAAAAGATACTCTTCTTTGTCCAATTAAGCTCGCTTGCATGTCTTTTCCGCTTCTTACCACCGTACTTTTCATGTTTACCAGGCAATCTGAAGGACACATTTTGTAACTAATCTAAGATTTGGTGAACAGATTTTCGAGCCGGTGGAGGTCGTTTCTCAACCATACCGTCAAACTTTTTATTTTTTCTCATCCCATGTTTAATAGGAAGCCATTGTCGATGGCCAACAAAACAAGTCTTACTTGTTATCCTCTTTGAAGGAGTTGCATCGTTGCAAGTTGGGCATGCTAAATAGCCCTGACCACTCCATCTAGATAAACTACTACGAGCAGGAAAATCATTAACAGTCATAAGCAACATGGCTCACATCTGAAATGATGTATTCGAAACTGCGTCACGTACAATTACTCCTTCATTCCACAAATGTTTTAGCTCATCCACAAGGGGTCTTAAAAAGACATACATATCCTTTCCGAGTGCATTTGGGCTAGGAATCAACAATGTCAACATCTTATAAGGATCCTTAGTGCATAACCACAGAGGTAAATTGTAGGCCGTTAAAACCACCGGCCACATACTGTATGAGAGGCTCATGTTCCCGAATGGATTGAAACCATCAGCAGCCAACCCCAAGCGAACATTTCTCGGCTCACGTGAAAACTCAGGATACTTTTCATCTACCTCCTTCCATTCAATACCATCGACTGTATGACGCATTAAACCCTCATCATTTGAACGCCCATGATGGTGCCACGTCATAGCTTTAGCTGTGTGACGAGAACCGTACAGATGCTTCAACCGATCTATTAACGGGAAATAACGTAGTACTTTCCACGGGACTTGTTTAGTACCCTTTGTCTTTTTTTTCTTCCAACGGGATGTTTTACATACAGGACACGTTTGTAGATCAACGTTCTCTTTCCAAAACAAAGCACAATCGTACTTGCAGACATGAATTATTTCGTAACCCAATCCAAGTTTACTCATGAGCTTCTTCGACTCATAATGAGAAGAAGGTAACTTCACATCCGGAAATGCATCTTTCAATAGACTTAAGACAACATCCATACACTCATTAGGCCACTTGTATAACACTTTTAAATGCATCAATTTCACTAAGAAATTTAAAGATGAATACTTAGTGCAGCCCGGATACAATCCCACCTGGAGCTCAGAAAGTAGATCCTTAAATTCAGCGTACTGTGCATCTTCTAGATCCACATGCGTCTCATCCAACATTCCATGGTCATCATTAATCCCAGCAACGTCTTCTAAGACTGCAAACATCTCGTCTATTGGTTGATTAACTATTAGGTCTACACCTGAAACCGCTTATACTTCACCATGGTGAATCCATGTTCTATACAATGGGTCAAAACTAAATCGATGTATATGCGCTCTCACAGTTTCTACTGGATGCATTTCATGGTTTCTACATTTCATACAAGGACAGTTGATATGGCCAATTGAAGTTGCATAATTTTTGGCGACCTCAATAAAAGCAGATAACCCATTCCAATATTCATCCGACAATCGGTTCCTCAAAGAAGTCCAACTTTTGTCAATCGGCATTTCAACTATAAACGACAACAGACATAACAATTTATTAATGTGTTTAATTAATTTTAATTTTATTCTTAATTAACACAATTAAGTTTTATTAATTAAAGTGTGTTAATGAACTTATTAAAATTATGGTTTCTTAACTAAATTTCGGCAGCATAACGACTTATTTTTCATATAATTCACAAATAAAAACCTGCAGAAAAACAACTTTAAAAGATTTCGGCACACCATAGCTGCAAGATGTGCCACCCAGAACAAGAATCATAAACTTATACTAAATTTCAACAATATAACAAAATCATAATTCAAATATTGTCATCATAATCCTGAATTCATACAACTACTACAATTCTAAACTAAATAAATATAAAAAACTTACAAAGTTCAAACCCACTAAACGGGGGCTGAAAATATAAGGATTACGTCAGAGGAACCGTGCAAACAAGGACAAAGGCGAAAAATCAAACGCCTACATCAAATTAGAACATCAAACATAATTTTTAAACACTAAAATTAACAATTTATTAACATCTAGAGTAACATATAGATGCAAAATCATTAGTTTGGAGATCTCAAATCCAGTCACTTCAGTTTTTTATATATTGTCTGGAAAGAAGTGATGGCAATGAACTTTGAATTACTCAATTGCAGTTTCCAAGTGAATTAAAAATATACAGTCATGAAGTTCATAAGAAGATTATTTTAATTCGAAAAAGTCTTGTTTAGAGTGAGATAATATCTCTTGTTTCACATGTCTGCCACAGCATATCTCAGAAAATCCAATATTCAATATTCGTGCAAGTTGTAGGATAATTTCACAAATGACAAATACAACTAACATTACTTGTTAACTACTTAACTTATGTAAAAAAATATAAAAAAAAACATTCAACTAATTAACAATTAAGATGAATCAATTTTTTAATTGATAACAAAAAGCAAGAGAAATTACAAGACCACGACTAAGAATCCTTTTCCACCAAGCAACATGCTTTTTTCAATGCCAATACATGAATATTAGCTATTCAAGAGGGAAACTCTAAAAAAAAAAATAATAAATAAAAAACATTAAGGAGGGAAAACTAAAACAAGTCATAATAGGTAGGCGATGAACATAATAATTGAAGTAGTACGATGACTTTTCTACCAATGTCACTATCCACATGATTCTTACGTTTAATTTATAAATAGAAAATATTGATCAATAAAGTTAAATTTAAATTAACAAATATTAAAATTTAAGCAATCACTCGAAAATATACGAAGATAATTATCTAAAGTCCGGTCTAATTTTACGAAGCTTAATAATTTATGAAAGGCTACGAGTACAAATTCTATAGGAAAAAAAATGCTATGTTCTTCATGCTCGAATCTAATTCTAAGTATAATCTAGTTCTAAGTATAATGCTTAGGAAATGATTCTAAGTTCTAAGTATAATCTAGTTCTAATAACAAGTTATTACACAATTGTTTTAAGAAAAAAAAAAAACTAACCAACCATTACCTACGTATGCGGGCAGCGGCGGGGGCAGGGCGGCGGGAGCAGGGCTGCGGGACCGGGGCAGCCGGAGCGAGGCGGCCGGAGTGGGGCGGTGCAGCGGCGGCGGCAGGAAATGGATCGAAGAGAGAGAGAGGGAAGAGAAGAGAGATAAGGGGAGAGAGGGAAGGGGAAGGCCGGCGGCTGGGGGCAGCGGCGGAGAGATTTGCAGGAGAGAGAGAGAGAGAGCGTCGGGAGAAAATGAAGAAGAAGAAGGGGGATATTAGGTCAGAGTTATTTGCGACGACATATTCATCGCAAATAAATTTAAAATGTCGTCGCTAATAATAAATATTTGCGACAACAATGTCGTCGCAAATTAATAAAATGTCATCGCAAATACTAAAATATTTGCGACGATATTTTCTCGCCGCAAATATTTTAAAGTCATCGCAAATAATGCTTTTTTTCTGCGCCTACTTTATCGTCAAATAAGATTATTTGCAACGACGGTAAAATAATGTCGTCGTAAATAAGCTAAAACTATTTGCGGCGCTTAATGTCGTCGCAAATAGTCATGACTTGTCGTCACAAAAAAATGGATTACCTTGGCGCCAATAATCCGCGCCATTGAAAATTGCGCGCCAATATTATTTACGACGACACTGAACTTATTAACGACGACATTATTATTTTATTTGAAGGTAAGTATTTATGATGATATGTCGTCACAAATAATGTATTATTTGCGACGATAAATATCATCACAAAAAATGTCGTCGCAAAAGGGCATAATTGTTGTAGTGAGTGTTGTTATGAAACAAGTACATAAATAGAAGATAACTAGCCAAGGACAACATCTACACTGGTACAGGTACTATTTATTAAAAAGTAAAAATAAATAAATAAATAAAACCAATATTGAACTATGAATTCTAAACAGCAATCATATACATAAATACATGTGAGCCCTATTTTATACGTACATTGTAGTGATATATAATTACTTGTGTTTTAAAAAATGCACTATCTCTCTGAGATAGTAATATATAATTATGTGTGTCAAAACAAAAGAGATAGCAACACATTATAAACCAATCACATATATCAACACATTATTAGACATCCACTAATCAATTCTACCTCAATTAAATTCAGACATGCCATTGAAACTTAACTGATGCAAACTTATTTGCGCAGGCAGTCTTATTTCTTGGCCACTAGTTTTAACATTGAAACTTTTTATGAGGATTAATAACTGCTTAATTTAGTAATAAGACAATCTATTAATTAATTAATTAATTACCTCGGCACGTTCGTAGGCAGTGGAGAAGCAAGCACCGGAAGATGATGTGAAGGAATAGAGGTGAGGAAAGAGTTTCTTTATCGCTCTACTGCTTGTGACGATCATGGATGTTGAAGCCATGATGACTTGAAAGTTACAAACTTCCTTAAAATATTTTTAGATCATTAGCTTGGGGGGGGTTTTTTTTTTTTTTTTTTTTTTTTTTTTTTTGGGTGCAATGTCTATTATAACTTCTGCGTCTCTTTAAATATGTTTTACTATTAACGCATGTCACACGTTTATTGATGTGCAAGGTGTCATTCACTAGCGTTGCACGCGTGTAAAACGAGAGTTGACACACATGGAGGACTTTGAGACACGTTTTTGTACTCCTAATAATCAATTCAACAACAAAGGTGTCTACGTTGTTTTCTTATTTAGTATTTTAGGGTCCGTTTAGTTCGCTGATTCGAATTTTTAATTTGAGTTGAGATTTAATTTTATGTGAGAACTTTTTATTATAGCAAAAAAATTAGATGTGATTATTTCTAAGAGTTTTTTACTGTAACAAAACTCAAATTTTAAATTCAAATTGGTAAAATAAATAGCGCATTAGTTAGCGTATGTACGCTTAGATCATAAGTTATATTTCCTTTTCAACTAAATGACATTTCTAATTAGATTGGAAATAAATTACTTATTGTTGAGTAAAAAAAAAAAAAAAAAAAAAAACCAGAAAAAAGAAAAAGACACAATCGGACAAAAGCTACGTGATAGAGAAAATGATTAGAGTTATTCTAAAGTTATTTTATTTAATGTTTATTTATTAGGATTATTTGAGTTCTATTAAGATGATTTAAGATTAAATAGCATTAGGAGTTTGATTACTACTAGGACTTGTATGCCTTAAAAATAAGTCTTTCTATGCTCATTATTTTAAGACTTTAGACTTAATTAATGATATTAAATATTCATATTTTCTCTATTATTATCTACTTCTCTCTAATTACTCTGTCAAGATTCTTTTCTATCCCCTTCTTCTATCTCCTCTTTCGCTGTTTCCTACATCACTGTCTTTGTTAACCCGCAGAAAAAGAGAAAAGTCGATGTAAGGAGAAAATTCCAAAGAATTTCCTCTTCCTCTCTATCGGTCCTACATCACTACATCTTTGTTAACCTGCAGAAAAAGAGAAAAGTCGAAGTAAGGAGAAAATTCCAAAGAATTAAAAAGCCGTAAGAAGGCCAAACGGATAGAATGGAAATATCACCTCATTAGGTTGATTGTCCAACACAAGAATGTTACGGTTAGAGGTGTACCGTGTAAGTTTGGGCTGCTTAGCCCTACTCGGCAGCCCAAAGGGAGAGGGTCGGCCCAATCCGACCCTAAACCTAAAAAATTTAGGGCTGGTTCGGCTCGGCCTGTAATTTCATAAGACATTTTGAAAAAATCTTTAAAAATATGATGTTTAGGTCGGGCCACCCTGACTCTAAAGGAGAGAGAGTCGGCCCAACACAGTTTTAAGTTTAAAAAATTTAAAGCTGAGTCAGATCAAACCTGGGCCAATAGTAACGAGCTTCGGACTGGCCCGTTTAGCCCGACCAAAACTTACAGCTCTAGTTACAGTATGAATGATTTGCATCAAACGATATTCTTGTTAACTCTTTTACTAAGACTTTGCGTGCGAAAAAGATGTGAGGGACACCAAGAAGATACAAGTATATAAGGGAGAGATGTCACGTACTTTTTGTTATTGTTTATTGTTTTTTGGTTTTTTTGTGTTAGAAGGAGAAAAGAGACAAATATTTTTTAAAAATGCATTGGTTTGGATTTTTACTTCTTATTCTTGATTAATAACATTTTTAGTCAAATAACTATATTAGCAAAAGAATTTTGATCAAGAATGAGGAGTAAAAATTCAAGCACTCTTAAAGATAAATTATGTAATTTTCTCTTGTTGAAAAGATGTCACTGTTTTTTTTTTTTGTTTACACTTTTTTGTTTTGTTTTTACGGCTCTATTTTTTTTTTTTTTTTACTTCTCTTTCTTTTATTTGTTTTTTTCTCTGCCTTCTTTGCTTGCTTTTTTGGTTCATTATTTTTGTTTTTCTCTCATCCCTACTTAATCTTATCATTTTAGTCACTCATTCATGCTTTTTTGTTTTTGTTTTCTTTCTTACTAATATTGTATTTACCTTTAAGTATTTACAACTTTGAATTTGGTAAATACTGTATTTACCAATAAATATTTTAGTAATTAAAATTTTAAATATGGTAAATACAATATTTATTGGTAAATACAATATTTATCAGTAAATATTTTAGTAACTATAATTTTGAATATGGTAAATATTGTATTTACCTGTAAATACTTTAGTAGCTACAATTTTAAATCTGCTATATTTACTGGTAAATACGATATTCAATAGTAAATACTGTGTTAAATGGTCACCGGTGTCGGTGGCCGGATTTTCATATAAATATGATTTTTATTAGTAAATACGGTTTGTAAAGTATTTATAGGTAAATACAGTGTTAACGGTCGCCAGAGTAGGTAGACAAATATTTGGATAAATATGATTTTTAATAGTAAATATGGTATGTACTGGTAAATAGAGTGTTGAATAGTCGCCGGAGTCAGTGGCTGAATTTTCATATAAATGTGTTTTCATTAGTAAATATAATATTTAACGGTAAATACAATATTAAACAATCGTCAGAGTTGGTGACTAGATTTCGGATAAATGTGATTTTTACCGATAAATATGATATTTATCAATTGCGGGAGCCGTTTGATGGATTTTTTTAAAAAATATGGTAAATACAGTGTTTACCAATAAATATGGTATTTACCAATCGCTGGCGATGGCCACTGGTCAGCAGTCACTAGCAACTACTGCCAATCTCTGGAGCTGGCCGTCAATTGCCAATGCGGGCCATAGTCTTCTGATTTTAGAAAAATATGATATAATATCTCTATTTAAAAAAATGATATAATTTATTATTTTAAAAAAAAAAGAGTAGTGGTTTTGGGAGAGGAAAGAGATGGAAAAAAAATTAAGGAGTATTTTTGGTTTTTAATAATAATAATAATAATAATAATAATAATATGGCCGTCAATTGCCAATGCCGGCCATAGTCTTCTGATTTTAGAAAAATATGATATAATATCTCTATTTAAAAAAATGCTATAATTTATTATTTTCAAAAAAAAAAGAGTAGTGGTTTTGGGAGAGGAAAGAGATGGAAAAAAAATTAAGGAGTATTTTTGGTTTTTATTAATAATAATAATAATAATAATCATAATCATAATAATCATAATAATCATAATAATCATAATCATAATCATAATAATCATAATAATCATAATCATAATAATCATAATAATCATAATAATCATAATAATAATAATAATAATAATAATAATAATAATAATAATAATAATAATCATAATAATCATAATAATAATCATAATATAGCTCCAACGTTCAAATACATTTAATGGTAATAACTAATATGCCAAGATTTACTTTCTCCTTTTGCTCATCATTTTTGCCCTGAATCAATATGAATTTGACTTTAATCAACATGAATTTTTGATTGACTTTATCAATGTGCTACCTAATTAAGTCGACTATATATCTTTCAGATTCGTGTATGTTTTGTGTGTAGAACTACTCGGCGGTTAAAGATATACATATATAAATATTGTTTTTGGTATTATTATATATTTAATACTTGAAAGATCATATAACTGATCCAATTTTAGGGCTACATAAATTTATATGTAGAATGTTCCTTCACCGATTTAGAGGAAATTGAAAAGGAGCAACAAAAGAATGGCTCTTGGCCGAGATCTTTCATTTATTGGCAGGGGGAGGGGGATTATTATCATAGTTATGATTGCCATGCTTTTCTCTTCACTTATACTAGGTAGTGTGTTCCTCTTTTTTTTTTTTTTCTTTCCCTTTTTAAGTGTTTTCTCTTACTCTTTTTTTTTCTTCTTCTTCTTTTTTTTTTCTTTTTTTTCAAAGGAGTACATCACAGATTTAAGCTTAGCCATGTTGAAAAATTATTTCCTTTTTCTTTTCTTTTTTCCTTTTTCATTTTTTACGTCATTTTATCATGATGCAGTTTATATCATTAGGCTCAATATATACAGTCAGAATATTCTTAAGATGACACTATTAAATTTGGTTTATGAGTACCGTCAAATTTAAATCATACTGTTGTGATGAGGTGCCCCATAGTAGAATTTCCATACAGCTGCTAGTTTCTGGAAGTGTCAATAACACAACACGTATGGCGGGATACTTCCAAGTATTGCTATAGAACCCAGCTGCTAGTTTCTGAAAGTGCAGCTGCTAGTTTCTGTTGGCAGCCATTTATGAACCCCAAAGGTCCCTAGGTCAAACAAATTAAGGAGAAAGTTAAGTATAGTAAAATAAAAAATGATAACTCCTACCCATAATTGCACTTTCATGTGACTATATGAGGATGAGCTAACATAATAATTATTTACTAAATTATTTAAACAATAATTATTATTTATGTAATACGTGTTATTTATGTTAAAATCTTAACATAAAAAATTATTTTATTAATTTTTACATTTTACATGACATTTTCTATCAATAATTTAAGAGGGAAAATTAACAAGAACTACTGAAGCTTGTGGAAAAAAGAATTAAAGTTCAACATTGTGACAAATTATGGTTCGGAGCAACGTGTAATTTTTCCTATATTGTAATATCTGTTTAGTTCGCTGATTCTAGTTTTTAATTCGAGTTGAGATGTGACTTTTTATGAGAACTTTTTACTGTAGCAAAAAAGTTAGATGTAACTGTTTCTGAGAGCTTTTTACTATAGTAAAACTCAAATTGGTAAAATGAACAGAACCTAAGTATTATAGAAGAGTGGATGCCTCTTTATAAGTTTCCGTACTTCAACCGAGGGCTTATGTGACTTTTTATCATTGATGAAAAGTAGGGGTGTAAGAAATGAGCCCGAACCTGAATAACTCGCCCGACCCGACCCGAAAGTGTAGGGTTTTTATTTTAAATTTGGATTCAAATAGTCCCAACCAGCACTGTGCGGGTTGGGGGGCGGGGCGGGCATTTTGAACCCGATTGCCCCGACCTGACCGATTTAGGTGTGTAACCCTAAATCCCTAAATCTATTTTGCTGGACTATCTCTATATAGACTGTTTATTTGACGTATTGTTAATTTTATTTCTGAACTTTATTGACTGTTAAGAAGTATGTTTGATGTTATGTTAATGCTTATGGACTGTTCATGGATTTTATGCTTTTGAACTATTAAAAGAGGTATGACTGTTTATGGATTTTCACCAACCCGAGTAACCTAAGTAACCCGAAGTCACCTGACAAGTTGCGGATTTGTGGACTTAAAAGAGTATTACGGCCTAAAATTTTTTCAACTTGCATTGAGCGGGTCGGCTCAATTTTTCAGCTCAATCCGACCCTATCCGGCCGAATTACACCCCTAATGAAAAGCAAAATACTCGTTCTTATATTGGATACTTCTTTATTATTATTTTTTTCCCAAGGTGGACACTCTTTTTGTTTTTCCTGCACTTAAATCAAAAGATATATTTCACATTTTTTATAGTTTGAAAATAAAAACTTGTTCTGATTTTATTTCTTTTCTTTTTTCTCACTTCTTTCTCTTCTTTCCCTGTTCTCTCTCTGTTTCGTGGGAAGAAAACTGGTTGGAGATTGAAGAAAAAAAAACCTTTTCAAAAACAAAAAAAGAGAGCAGAGCACCATCAGAATTCAAAGGTCAGACTTTCATGTTTCTCCTTTTCTTCTACTGAGATGAAGAATAGGATTCTTCATCGAATAAATATTTTCTTTTTTTTTTTTTTTGGGTGAAAGTTTTCCCCTCTCGTGCTCTCTCCTACAACTATATTTTATTTCTTGATTTCTCCGTTTACATTTCTTTATATTGGTCAATTCTCTCTCTGATTTTTTCAGAATAAATTTCTTCAGCATCGTCAAGGGCGAGGGTGCACAATCTTCTCTGTTCAGGTAAACTACTTTTTTAATTTCCATTTCCTCCATAATCGTTTTTTGATTATGCAGTTTTCGTGGGTTTTTACCTTTTAGAGATTGTTGTGATCTTCATTTATTAGTATTTCTGGGTTTTCAGTGAAGGTGTTTGGTTTTTGGATTATGACATGAATTTTCAACCGTTTTTTTTAAGTGTCAAGGGTTTTGTTCCGTATATAAAGAATTCAAATACCGCCATCGAAACAACCATCATCTCTACCTAGGTTTTTTTGTCATCTACTTTTGGTGATTATTTGAAAAAATTTGCAGTGTATTCAACGCGCTGCACTATCTTTCTTTGCTTCCTCCAAGGGCCCGATAACCACACTAAGTCTTCAAACTGATCAAACAAAATCAATGTTTGAAATCTCCAAATCTGACATCCATGGGTTCCTAATAATCCTTTGTGCAGTGGTTAAATCAGTTGCAGAAGCGGAATCTTTAATTAGTATTTGTTGCATAATACTAATCAAGATTTTATTACTAACGAGTTGATGGGGTCTTAGGCTTTACAATTTGATTACAATATAACTTTAACCAGTTAAAGTTTGACGAATGGGATTATGATGGTTCGATGGATACTAAATTATGATGGTCTTAGGCTTTTTCTTATTTTCTTTTTTGCAGTATATGGTTCAATTCTGTTTTCAGGCATTTTTATGTGATAGTTCATTAGCTCTATTTCTTCTATGCAACAAATACTTTTTTTTACCCTGTAAATTTTTTTATTTGATTACATTTGGGCAGTACGTAGAACAAAGCTTTTGAGTTCCTTTTTTTTTTTTTTCTGGGAACAGCCCTATATTGTTTAGTGTGCTTAATATGAAATAGTGAGTAGGAATATAAGTCAGCCACAACTTTCTCCAATTCCTTGACCTCTTGCTCACAAATTTCATTTGTTGGGGTCCAACTTTGCTAATTCCTTCAATATGGTGAAATTTTCCAATGACGGCTGTATAGACAACAAAGTATTGGAGGCAATAAAATATAATATGGAGACATACATTGGATTTCTCTGCTTTCTATATGCAGAATAATTGGCTTGCTTTTACAATTCTCTATAAGTTTTTGTTCCTAATTCACCTTTTATTCGCTTATTAAGCATGAAAGCATCGAGAGTCCTTTTAATTTGGGCACATCAATGCACACTCTCTGAATTGGTTCACTTGTGCTTTTGTGCTCATGTTGATTGAATGTCGTGGTCTTTGTGAAACCATTGTCTTGTATGTTCTTTTCTTTCTTTCTTTCTTTCTTTCTTTAAACATATGGAAGAACAAAAAGGTTTTGAATATTGCTGAATTCAAATGAATAGACCAGTTGAAGTTGCTTATATCCACTACTATCATAGCGAGTACTCGATTTTTATTGGAACTTTAAACTTCTCCTTATTAAGAAAGGGTTTTGAGGAAAAGAAAGTGCTGAACTGAAATTTGTCTTCTGATCAGTGCCGTGATTAGGAATATGATCAATACTTACCATTTTTCCTTCGACCACCTTTATATATAGCTAAGAAAACAATACAAGAATGAGAAGAATATCCGAGTGCTGTTGAAAGCAGTAGTTTGTGAATACAATTTACGTATTTTCTAATATCTCGCTTCATTTACAGCTACTATTAATATATGCTTTCCTCGTTCCAAGCGATTTTCAGATGTGTTCATATACAAGGAATTTTGACAAAAAACGAGGTCACTAGAGTACTTTCTTTTGTTTTTGTTTTTTGTTTTGTTTTTTGTTTTTTGTTTTGTTTTTTGTTTTTTTTTTTTGGTTTTTTGTTTTTTATTTTTGTTTTTTAAAGATAGCTGTATGTCATTCCTAGAGAATGACCTGAGTTTGTTTCTAATTAAATTCTATGAGAAACGTCATTCTGCGTTTGTATTTAATTAAACTCTGAGAAATATCCGGTTTTGATTTCAGTTTTTATCAAGCAAACCTTTCTTCTTGTTTTTCCTCTCTTATAATTAAGTAGCATGCAAGATCATCTAAGATGTGAAGATATTGTAATTGAAACATTCACTATTTGTTCCCTGTTTGATGTTCCCACTAAATCGCTTGATATCAAATCTGGAAAACAAGTTTCCGACAGTACTGACCAACCTCTGCAGCAAATGCAGAAGCTTGCAAGCACTCAAATCAAGTTTCAAAATCAAGGCAACAAATTAATGTAGAAGCAACCGGTAGCATACTGCCACTATACACGGGTCCTTGTTTTGACTGTATGTACATATCTGCTCATCCCGTATATAATTTGATGACTTGTTTTTGCAACCACGAACAAGACAACATGAGCGCCATTTTGTATCCTATGCTGGTTATGTATTTCTATCTTAATTTTCTTGCTTACGTTCACTATTAATATTGATAACAACTTCACACATAGTGACAACATTCATGTACTTTTTGGTTTATGGTATTAAAAGTAAAAGAGACAAAAAAAGTGAATTAATTTCTAAGTTATTTTGCTTTTAAATAAAATCAACTCAAATCTTACATTTTTCTTTTTCTTACAAGGTCAAAAAACTGAAGTACAACAAAGAGCATTGAAGTGCCGTAGGCACTTCCCCACACTAGTATAATATAATATAGTTCCTAAGCTTTTCAATACTTACCTATATTCCGATAACATAAGGCTTGACTTTTTCGAAGGAGAAATGGTGGAAATCAAGACCATCGGAGTGGTGGGCAGCGGCCAAATGGGCTCCGGCATCGCCCAACTTGCTGCCATTCACGGCCTCCATGTGTGGCTCCTCGACACCAACCCAACTGCTCTCTCCACAGCCTCCTCCTCCATCTCTAACTCCATTCACCGTCTCGTCTCCCGAGGCCACCTCTCTCAGGTATATATATATATTAAGAATATGATGGTTAGACAAAAATTATAAGTTGGGCATGGAATAAAAATCACGCTGTTATGTTTGCTGAGTTATTTTTAGTACTCGATTGCTTGGAATTGGGCTTTCGGTTCTTCCCTGGTTTGCTACTATCAACTGGATTTGTGCTATTTGATATGTTCAGCCCTGATTAGTTATTAAAAGATTCTTTTTATTTACAATTGCAAATATTTCTCAAGCCCGGGTAAAGGAGGAGGGTTGCGGTAGGTTGACGGCCAATTTAAAAATAAGTTACTCATGGATTTCACTCACGCAGAATCTGTTGGGGCGTTCCCTACGTGCAACGCACTATGCGGGGCCCCGGGCATAGTGTTAAATAGGCAAGGGGGTCTTCGCACATTCATGGACGTGTGCGGGGGAAAAAGCGAGCCCATGCACCATGTCGGGCCCCGGATATGGTGAAAAATATGCAAGGGGGGTCCTTGCACATTCATGGACGTGTGCAAGGGGCAGAGTTAGCCCATGATAGGAAAATTCGTTTAGGTAGTTGGAATGTAGGTTCTTTAACTGGTAGATCTATGGAGTTAGTAGATGTTATGGTAAGAAGAAGAATTAACATTTTAT